TTGATGCGTTCGTGAGTCTTGATATTTCCTGAAAGACCTCAAGATCGGACAGGGGCGTTGGAGGCCCGGGATTCAAGAATGGCAAACTCTCCACGGAGGCGGCATCATCGGCAGCGGAGGCTGGAGGAATATCCTCCTTACTAGGGGGCGTCAGATCCTCCTCAACATCCTTCTCCGTCTTGGCCACCGCTTGCGATGAAGCGAGATCCTTTGCGTCATGATCCACATCCATGGGCTCTGCGGTTGGTTCAGGCTCTTCAAGCACAGTGCCGTCTGCGATCATGCCCAGCAGCTGGATTTTCATTAGTAATTGGACAATGGTCGGGTCCTGCAGAGTCGGAGGTGGCATTTCTGCCTGCAAGGCCCGCATGTCCTTTTCAAAGATCTCTTTCCTCTCGTTGAGATATTCCTCCGTAAAGACCACATTCTCATCCTCCTCATCACTGGAGCGGGTAAAGTCCGGGATGAGAGTTGATTCCTCCGTAGCGTCGACCGGCTTCGGTTCTTCCGTCTCTACCGGCGCCGGTGAGGCAGCATCCGTAGGTACTTTGTTGCTGTCGATCGCAGCCTCTGCAGCTTCTATCCCTTTGGATTCTGGACCTTCTTCAGACGGGCGAGTCTCCGGTTTTATATCGTCAAGAGCCGCAGCATTACGATCTTTCTCTTCCCGCGACTCCCGCCGAGGACCAGAGGGTGCGTTAGTTGAGGGTGGTCCACGGTTATATCCCGGCCGCACCCATTGCTTACTGCCCTTGGGCGGCCCCCGCGGTGCAGGAAGCCCTCGTTGCTGAAGGGCGCGAGGGCCCGTAGGCACGCTGGAGAATGACATGCGAGGAGAAGTTTGGGGCCCGGGCGATCCACCACGACCCATGGCGGGCAGCTGCGCGCGAGTGAGTCCAGGAGAAGTCGAAGAGGAAGCCGGCCCGCTGGGAGGAGACGTGGTCGACGGTCCATCATGGGGACGTGATTCTGGAGGGCCCACGTCTCGACCAGACACGGATGCGGGAGCAGTGGGTGGAGAATGGTCGGGCCCATGCTTGGCGGCGGAACTGGCAGGGGCCGTGGGCGGCGGCTTCGAAGGGCGAACCGGAGTCTCCTGCTTAGTCCACGAGTCGGATACGCTGTCTCGTCGATTCCGAGGCTCAGGATGGGATGGAGCTTCTGCGCGATCGGCTTTAGGGCCTGTCGGTGGCTGCATCGCCGTCGTGGGCGGGCTGCGACTCTTGTCATTTTTGGCGGACGACGGTGCAGGGGCTGTGGCTGCCTGGGACGCCTTATCTGCTGCTGGGGGCGGCGGAGGGAGCGCAACTGAGCCAAATGCGGGCACTTGCGGGGCGGACGGTGGAGGAGAACGACTGGGAGCGGGCGATTCTTTGATCGCCTCTGCTCGAGCGGGAGGAAGGTCTGCTCGATCAAGATCCCGTCGAGGATCTCGTGTGCTAGGACCGGAGGATGTCGACGGTTTTCGAGCTTGATCTGCGCCCGTCTGATCGGAAGGCTTACCGTCAGTCCGTGCTGCGCCGGATGGAGCGGATGGAGCGGTCGACGAGCTGGCCGGTCCGCTGACGGTGCGGATTTCCGCTCTGCTGGGAGGGCCATCTTTCTTCCACAGATCCGCCGGGCGATCACGGTCGTCACGCTCTGGACGTCTATCCTCATCATCTCGTCGGTCGAACCGGTCACGTCTGTCGAAATCCCTGTCTCGGTCTCGATCGCGATCTCGGTCGAAGTCCCTGTCGCGGTCTCGGTCGCGGTCCCTGTCTCTGTCTCTGTCTCGATCTCGGTCTCGGTCACGATCTCTGTCGCGATCTCTATCCCGGTCTCGGAAATCTCTGTCCCGATCGCGATCACGATCTCGATCCCACCAGCCGTCGCGCGATCGACTTCTGCGGCGGAAGGTGTCTCGGTCGTCCGGATACGGGCCGCGACCTCGACCCCGACCGCCGTCCCAGTCGCCACGACCACGGCCACGGCCTGGACCACCCCGGGGTGGAGGGCCAATGCCGGCGGCGGGACCATCAGGTGGATTCGAGGAGGTTGAAACTAGACTGTCGCGGGAATTTCGACGCATTCGAACGATGTCGCTATCCCGGCCACCGGGGTCACGAGCATCTCGAAAGTCTCGTGCTGGTGATCGAGAACGTCTGAAGCCGACACGGGAGTCGCGGGCATCGAAATCACGATCCCTCCGGCCCCAATCACGGTCTGGATCGCGACGGAATGGCGGGCCATCTCTCACGTCACGAAAGTCACGGTCACGTTCACGGTCACGGTCTCGATCTCTGTCACGGTCACGATCCCGATCCCTATCCCGGTCGCGAAAGTCGCCCCGTGGGGGATATCCTCGGCCCCGACCGCCAAAGGAGCCTCCACGGGAGGAGTCAATGAGGGCCTTGGGACCTCGCGGAGGCTCACGGCCTAGGGGAGTCAAGTTCGGGTCATCGCGTGGACCTGGAGGCAGCGACGGACGGCGGTCAGGGTAGCGCTGGGGAGAGCGGTCGCGGGGAGGAAACCCGGAAGAAGGAGGAAAGCGCGACGACATCCCCGGCGCATGCTAGGAAGCACGCGTGAGGTGGAGAGCGGGTATAGAGGACGGAAGAGCCGACGGGCACGAACAGCTTTCAGGCAAGATGGAGCGAGGGATCTAAAATCGATTCAACGCGGTTAGAGCTGAAGATCACGGGATCACGGGGATGGGCGGCATGGATCAGCACCACGTGACATGGGAAACCGGGGAACGACGACCCAGAAGGGGAAGGCATGGAGGATGCGTGCATTTTTGGAAGGAACGAACGGACCCTGCAAGGTTTAGCGCGGGCGGGAGACGCAGCGCCGGCGGCAGGAGCGAAAAAAGGCAGGCGCGCGAAGCCAAAAAGGGCTGGGCGCTTCTAGACTGAGCCTGAGAGCGCGAAGAGAGAGGCACAGGCTGGCAGGCAGCGGTAGACGGCACAGATCAGGGCCCAGAGGAGCAGGCAGTGAAACAGGCAGCGACAAGATCGGGAGAGGCGACGACCTCGCGACGGCGTGTCTCTGGTGGACAGTGGACTCGTGGCACAGGCCTGGCACACGGCGATTAGGTAAGGAGACGAACAGCTGGCCCCTCAGGGACCGTGCATGGACCTGTTGCAGGTCCTGACACGAGATCAAAGTCGTCAAGAAGAGACCAGCAAGCACGCTCGTCGCCAGAGGCCACCACGCGCGGTGAGCCGTTGAGTGGATGCCGCGTGACGTGTTGCTGAGGCAGGCAAAAAGGTACAGAGAGGAAATAATAACAATATTACCTGGGCGAAGGAATGGCGAGAGGGGTCCCAGTGGCGTCGTTACACTGAGACAGATGGAAGGAATCCAAGATCCTCGTTCCAGGCTGGCAGTTGGCTGCTGCTGCTGCTGCTGCGCGCCGAGAAAAATCCCGGGCTTGGGCACCAATGAGGATCGGCCACCTCTTGGGGAACTCACGATGAACAGGTCGGTACCTTTGACAGGCCGTGAACAGGCCAGCACGCGAACCCTAGCGATGGAGATCGGAGATGAAAAGATTTGAGATCGGGCGGATGGATGGGATGGGAAGAGGGAGCGCGAGGATGGACTGGAGGGAGCAGTGCTGGAGCCTGGATGGGTCCTCGAGACAAGACTACTGGAGGGGGGCAAGTCAACCGCGTCCACATTGAAGATGGGTCCGCGAAGAAGCCATTGGCGAGGCAGCGTGGCCGCGAGTGATGTGGACGGTGGATCGGTCGGCAAAGGCTGACAAGCTCACTGTCTCAACCAGGCCCGAGCTCCAGGATCAAACTTCGAACGCGCCGGATCCGCCGTGGCGGGCGGTGAGAACCCGATGGAACGTGACCATGCCCCGATCGGGATTAGCGGATAGCCCGTTACGACTCGAGTCACGTGCAGGCGACTCTGCTGGCTTGAAGATTCCTACTCCGTAGATGTGGCAGACTTAGACGTACGGTTGATTGGCACGACGGTTCTTATCGGCCACAAAGCTGATGTTATCTATCTATCTAGTCTACCGAAATCAACCCAGCACCCCTCACCCAACAGAGCCTACCTCTCGGCGGTCTCCGAAACAACATTCTCCACTCCTGATGTGGAAGGAGAGACGATATAACAATAAAACACTATAAAACATTCGTCGCATATATGTACCGACGTTGCATCTGTCCTCGACGCAATGAGATAACCCAGAAAAACTCCCCATCCCCGTGCTATCGACCCCCTTTCCGGTATTCAGGTATACACCATAACAATGGAATTTTTCTTTTAAGAAAATGGCGCAAACACAGAAACAATCGCGCCGCCAAAGGGAAAACAAAGGATAAGCGGATATAGTCGTCGACAAATCTAGGCCATCGAGCCTCATTCTCCGTCGAATGTTCCTCAGACATCGCTGACCTTACGTTTTGTAGATCTTGACGACGTTGATCACGTTCTTCCGGCAGATGGGGCACGTGTCAATCTGCCGCGCACAGGCGACGCAGGCGCACACGTGCCCGCAGTCGTAGAACAAGGCATCCTTCTCCTCCGAATAACAGATCTGGCAGAGGTCCATCTCCTCGTCCGCCACTTCCCAGTAGCTGATGCCTTTTCCGTGCCGCTTGCCGTCTTTGTAGCCCCCAACGTACTTATTGCCCGTCTTGCGTTCAATGAAGGTGCCCTGGCCGTGGCGCTGATCCTCGACCCAGTCGCCCTCGTACGTGTCGCCCGATGGATACTCCATCTTGCCCTTTCCGTGGCGCTGCCCGAAAATGAAGTCGCCCGTGTACGTCGCACCCGAGTCAGAGATGTGAGTACCCTTGCCGTGATAGTAACCCTTGTAGAACTGGCCGCTGTAGTAGTCACCGTTAAATGTGGCATCAATGGTCTTGGTGCCCGTAAATGCCCGAGTGGGGTGCCTGCGCGACGACGCCCAGAGGTACTGGGCGAGACGATCCGGATTCGTGAACAGACCGGCTGCTCCAAGCTCGGCACGTCTGGGATCGATGTTAGCAGACAATATGGTTCAATAAAAATACTGAATATTCCACTCGAGGGGATACGTACTGATCCTTGGTCAACTTCTCCCCGACAATGAAGCAGATGCCATCGCGCATTGGCATCAAGAAATCGTCCGCCGGGGAGATAGCGGTAATTGTCGTGGCATCGTCGCGCATCCAGATCAGGAAATCCTTATCCTCGGGCCATTGAAGGTGTTTCCGGATGGCAGCCATGATGTTCTCCTCCACACGGGACAGGTACGAGCCTACCGCGCGGAAGGCCTGCTTCTCGATGTCGAAAATTTCGATAAAGTAATATATATGAGGCACCCACGATATCACCTCTGGTTCTGCGGGGATGGAAATCTCGGTCGAACTCGCCGCGCTGGATGTGGGAGTGGCCGAGGACTGCGATTCGGAGGGTGAATCCTCCATGACGGTATCCTGGGCGGCCCCTGTCGGCGGAACCGTAGTGCCCTCAACGTCCATCCGTTGGACATCGTTGGCGGTGGGGTGAGCGATGACTCCACCGGTCTCGCCAGCTTCTGTCATGGCCACATCTGCTGCAGATGAATCGCCCACGTGCGGTGGTCGAGCTTGGCCGTTGGGAGTGACATCTCTCTCTTCATCCGAGTCTGATGCACTGTGGACCTCAATCGCTTCTTCAGGGTTGTCTTCCACAGGCTTTGGTTTGACCGACAGATCCGGAATCGCGAAAAGCTTTGCATCAGCTGATGAAGTGTCCTGTCAGCTCTGTCTACCCTAACGAAAAACTCCCTAATAAGAAAAAGAAGCCCCGTAGGATTTCAACTTACCTTCCGACAGGATGTGCATCCAGAAGCGCACAGTCTCCAAGCTGTTTTCCAGAGTATCCCTCATCACGGTAAGCCGGGAAAAGACGAGCGAGGCCCCAACGAGGTCCTTGTTCGGTCCCAGCCGCCATAGTCGAACTCGCGCCGGACTGATCTGTTCAGAATCATTCGACTTGGCAAAAGCAATCTTCCTCCGGAGTTCGGAGAGCGATATGGTTCGCGGTACGGTAAAGTACATAACGTTGTTGGTCTGTTTGGCCAGGGACATCAGATCGTACGTGTCGAAGAGACTGCCCAGCCGGTCATCAAAGCTGGGCAGACTATAGACTTCCACATTGACAGACGCGGCCGCCGTGGGTGGAGGATAGGAACCTGTCTGAAAGTAGGTCTTCAAACGGGGCGAGACGTCCCACGGCTCCAGCTGGCCAGGTAGATACTCACGCACCACATCATGGCGGACGTATAAGACGGCGACGGCGACATCATGACCGGTCCGGTCGTTGGCCTCCCGTAGCTTACCCTCTTCGAGGCCAACGTGGGCCTCCAGGGCGGCCTTTCGGGTCAGACACTCGACACGGTTGTCGCTGCCGTCGTCAAACGCCAACCACTTGGTGCCCGGCCCGCCAGGTCGCAGGATACTGAAGAATTTCCCCGAGGTGCGGCGGCCCCGGTGGACGATGAAGCCGTAGAGGTCGTATTCACCGCATTGCCCATCCACGACGTATGGGGCGACATTGAGAACCTCATTCAGGTCAACGCGGTTATAGAGCAGCTTCCACTGACGGACGGAGTGATCGAATCGCTGGCGGCTGAGCTCGACGTGCAGTACAGGCGGCAGCGACCAGCGACCAGGCTTCTCCTGGAGGAAGTGCTCCACCGCACCTTGAACAGTCTTGGCCAGGTCCGCAGGGACCCGGATACTGGGGATCAGCTCCGACGGAAGGGAATGGATTGGTGTCGTTTCCTGGGCAGCATTCACCGCGACAGGCGGGCTGTCAAACAGGCGAGCAAACTCCTCTGCCGCAGGCGTGCCCGCCAATTCCAGCTCCAAAGAGCGACGGAGACGTTCCCAGAATTCAACCACATCGCCGGAGAATTCGTGCAGGTTGCGCAAGGTGGACGTCACTTTATCGGTCTCGACATACTGCACCGGGCCGGTCTGATGGCGCAAGCGCCACAAGAATTCCTGGAGGGCCTCGCAGAGCGGCCGGGGCTTGACGTCCGAGTTGTGGAGGTGCTCGAGGATGTCGACGTTCTGGATGATCTTACGGAAGGGAGCCAGGTGGACCCAGGCAGCCAGCCCGGCAACTTCGGCGCTGTGGTTGATGACGGAGTCGCCCATGGGCCGGTAACCCGTCAGGGCGAGGCTGTCCCAGACGGGCTCCGAGTCGCTCGCATGCCACCAGAGCGACTTGGTCGGGTCGTCAAAGACGCGGATGTACGCGTCAAAGGCCAGGGTGTCGTTGCGGAGGAGGGCCTGGCGCTGGCCTCGCTGGCGGCGGTGGATCTGGTCCCACGGGCCGTGGAAGTTGGTCCAGCCCCAGTCCAGATTGTGGGGGTTGAACTGGTGGCACGACGACTGCATCCAGCCCGTGCGAGGCTCTTCAGGATTGTACAGGATCACTCCGATCTGGGCGGAGACGCGCCAATCGGTCCGAGCTTCACTCTCAGCGGACGAATCGGCTGGGGCGCTGGTGTGGCCCGCGTCGGCATAGGTTTTCTTGTAGTTCTCGAACCATTCCGCCGAGTCGTCGACCCGAGGAAACTTGACGTGGATATCCGGCTGGAGGTCGCTGAGCACCGCGTCGGGCGGACCACGGAGGACCTTGAACTCGCTCTCAGGAAGCTCCTTGTCGGGCTTGGGCATCTCCTTGGAGCACTCGATATAGATGCTCAGGGCGCCGACGCCGTTGCCGCGCGGGAAGAACTTGATCGTCCACCAGTATCCCCCCACGTAGGCCGCCGGAGAGCGCATGATCTTGGCACGATTGGGACGGGCCTTGGTGCCTCGGACGCCTTTGATCTTCCAGGTGAGGCGGGCCTTCTCGGCGGGACGGTATTCGGGGTCGTCCAGTTCGCGGTAGAAGGACTTTTCCCAGTACTCATCTGGGCGATGGAGAGGTTAGCCAAGTCGTGAAGTAAGCGGAGGGGCGGATTCCAGGCTCACATTCGTGCGCACTGTAGTCACCATCGGACGATTCAATCTCCTTCAACTCAGCCTCATCTGGAGTTGACAGGTCTTCTTCAATGTCCGCCCAGGGAGCGGGCTCCTCTTCCTGTACCGGAGGCGGGGGAGGAGGGGGAGGTGTTTCAGCAGGGGTCTCATCAGTCCGTGTCGTTCTCTGGGGGTTCTCTGGCGATTCGGCTGCCGGAGTTTCTGTCGTAGCCGCAACTTCAGGTGTCTGAGTCTGGGGCAAGTCTTCGGAGGTATCCATGGCCGTTTCCGGAGACGTGTCCCCGATGACAGGTCGATCTGGAGCGGCGGATTCTGTGGACTCCAAGGTGACAGGCGGTTGTATCGAGACCGGCGGGGTCAAGACGTCAACAGCGACACCGCCGTCCATGGTGGGCGTGGTGAAGCTGATGGGAGACGATGTTAAGCGAGATCGATATGGGGAAAAAAAAAAAACTCAGCGAGGTGGATTGTTTTCCTTTTTCAAATCCAGCAGCCCAAAGTCTGCCTGGAGAATTGACTCACAAGGGCTGTAATCGCAGGCAGAAAAAGCAACAACTTGACAGTGATCCAGAACAACACCAACCCGCTTCCAGCTCTATCGTCCAATCACCAACAGGCAGAAACAAGTACAAGAACACGCAGTCTTTTTGGTCTACGGAAACGACAGCACGATACAGAGTATAGGGTACAAAGTACAGACTGGAGAACGACGAATTTCGCAGGGACCAGCGAAATATCGGTGTGGGGAGGGAGCACGACAGATAAGTGACGGGGCAGCAGGCCAGACAGGCGATAAGGCCCACTAGCTTGGGTCAGGTCAGAGTCAGCCGGGGGAAACAAAGTTAGCGAACAATCAGGACCCCGGCCAGGCCCTTGGACACAGTCACAGGCAGTAACGCAGGACCGTTTGGAGTGAGTTCTCGCGGTGGAGTCGGAGCCGGTTCAGGGCACCACAGCCATCAGGTCGGCCAGAGAGAGATGGTCAAAGAAGAAGGGTAGGCAAGAAAAGGAGGACGGACAAAGAACGAGAGCACCCGAAATTGAGCTCCAGACGGGCAGGATCTGCCGCCAAAGTGAGGCGAGGCTGGGGGCGCCATCAGCGGGCGGCAGACGATCATGCCGGCAGCGATGAGGATGGAGCGGTCAAATGCCTGGAAGCTGAGCTGGCGAGATGCGTGTTTGTCCGGTCGCGCCTGCCAGCTGCGGCTCTGGTGTTGCGGGCGGGCGGCCATTGGCTGCTGCGGCGGCCCACTCGTGCGCCTCGCGCCTTCCCCATGAGTCGCCGGGGCGCTTTCCCTTCCGGGCATGCGATCCACACACCGCCTTAACTACAGTTCGATCAATTTACAGTTCTGGCAGGCAGCAGGACAATCAGTAGAGTAAAATGGCTGCAGAGATCTTGGATGCTGCCTGCCAGGCAAACACTGCCAGACAGAGAGTAAGAGTCTGGCTTGGTTGTGAACTCGTGACTGACTCATCGGGTACCAGCAGGACGTGATCTTTATAGAACAAATCAACTGTCGTGGACGTGGAGCCAGACAAGGCCTGGCCGCTGACCTGTCCGTGCAGATAGATGGTGCCAGGCTTATGCAGCCACGAGCCACAGCGTCGACTGGCCAGCCATTGGCCATAAACCAAAAGAACCCAAAAGAAATTGTATAAAATGGCACCTACTCACTTTGACAGTTGGCCAGACTGAAGTTCAAATCCCGATTTCATCCATCGTCACCGTACTCAGTCTCCTAGTCGACTTGCCGGACATTGCTCGGTTCGAATGCGATAACGACGATAACGTTAGATAGTGATAGCATAGCATAGCACTTTATGGGGCGGCTGGTGGAGCAGGTGGATCCATCCCCAAATTAAATGCCTGTCATGGAATTGGCTTGACGCGAAGAAAGATCAAAAAAGGAATCAATATAGAAGCACTGCTACAAATAATCAAGCCTAACTGGAATGCCAGTTAGCAGGGAGAAAAAAAAAAGCTAACTGAATGTACTCTGCACCGGTAAACGAATTAAGTAATATCCTTTTTTTCAACAAAAAAAAAAAAACGAAATTCTAGACCTCGCCAAAAAAAAAAGAAGAGAAAAAATTCCGACAAAATTAGTAAGATTTAATTCTAGAATAATCGGGAATCAAATCGGAATCTACTGTACGTACGAAGTACACAGTACAGGTACCTTAATAATAAATTTGCCCCTTGGACCCTTACAGTTATGTCCGCCCGGAATAGGCAATCGATTCTTTTTTTGCATAGGTTCGTGGAACCATGGAACCATGGAACCATCCATCCATCTACTCCGTAGGGAGTAAAGACCTAGATAATAAAGTTATCTAGGATCGGGTATCTGGTCCGATACCGGTAGTTGTACCGATAATCGTACGGATCCAAGTACTGGTACTGGTACTGGAACGGTGGCAAAACAAAAAAAAAAGAAAAGAGAAGAAAAGAAAAAAAAAGACAGAAAGAAAGAATGAATGAATGAGAATTGGATAGCTTTCTATTCTATCGACTGCTTCTAATCTGGTTTGTTCTATGTAGATTTGTAAGTATAGCAGTGTGCACATACAGTACAGTACATATACGGTTGGTCTATACAGCAGGTACTATAGGTACATATCTAAGTAGGCCACAATACGTGTTTACCTACCTATGTATAGAATACCTTCTTCACGTGGATTGCGTCCGGAGAAGGTGCTGACTCGCTGATTCATCGCAATTCGTCTGGTCAGATTGGCATGGCGCATGAGAAGTACCCTAGAGGAACTCAGTCTCGACAGACTGAAATCCTCCCGTATTTGTACGATCATCAAAACGTCGGTTTACCGAAGACCTGTGTCTTCGGCTGACAAGTCACTTCGGACTCCACGTCCCTGAGTTCTGTGGCTGCTCACCCTATCCTTCTTCCATGCATCAGGAAGGATAGACTCTCCATTATTTCTGTCTGTCTGGAGACGGGTGTAATTGGTGTAATTCCATACGAGGAATTCCTCAACTAGTCGACTGTCAACAGTCAACTCAACTAGTTCTGCCCATCGGCTTCGTTTTTCTTCTCCGCTTTGGCAAACGTCGAGGCGACAATGAGTGGAAACACAACCGTTGCTTCGGCATAGACCTGCACACACTTAGCAACAGTCCACCACAAGAAATCAGGATCCTACCTTCACACTCTCCGCACTCGCTTTGATCTTCCCCCAGCTCACCGCCTCATCCGGCCGGGCGCCGGCGTCACTGCCGTCAAATTCCTGTGCTGTGTTGATATACACCGCGCTCTCCGCTCCGTTCCGCATCAGACACGCGTTTGCAATGTGGTGCTTGACGACTCCGCCGCCCAGAATGATCATGCCCGCCCGCGCAGCCCGCACGGCCATCGTGTTGATGCGGCGCACGTCGTCGACGATGTCCACGCGCAGTCGTTTCGGCGCAGAGCGGTAGGTGTGGAAGTACAGCATATCTCCCAGCGAACCATCCGTCAAGGCCGGGCAAAAGATGGGGATGTTGTTGCGCGCAGCCCAGTAACAGACCGAATCCTCGTTGTTGATCTCCTTCCCGAGCCGGTGGATGATGCGCGACGGCGTCCAGTGCAGCTCGTCGTCTGGGTCGCCCGTTTGTCGAGCCTTCTCCTTCGCGGCCTCCTGTTCCTCTAGCATTTTGTCCAGGATGGGCAATAGCCAGTCCTCAAAGGCGCAGTAGTTGCTGTTGGGCACGAACAGGTTCCCTATGCGGTTGAGGCCCTGGGCACGTAACCCGGCACCCGGTGAGGTGAAGGATCCCATGTATGTAGGAGCCAGGCACTTGATGAGGTCCTCCTCGACGCCACCGGCGGTGGTGACGATCGCGGACACGTGGCGGTGCTGAACCAGGTAGCGTAGGGTCTCGCGCAGACCAGATGAGATCAGATTCGAGGTGTAGCCTAAGAAGATAGTGGTGCCGGCGCCAGTTTCAGGGTCTCGAAAGGCACGCTGTTCCAGTCAATTCTTCTTCTTTCAGCGCAGACTCTAAACAATCATACCATCTCATTGATGATGCGCACCGCGTCCGCTACAGCGCTGGCCTGGAAGCCCATGTTGGCCATGTTGGCGACCAATTCCGGAACCGTAATGTCGCGGTCTGCGAATTGGTTGAAGTCCACGCCGCGGACCTTGCGGGCATCCTCGGGGACGGGTGCTGAGGCGACCAGCACGGCCTGCGTAGCGGACGCCGGCGGTACGTTGTCGTTCTCATCTTTCTTTTGGTTTGCGGCTGCCTGGTCGGTAGTCATTATGCTGGTCTTTTTGAACCTGGTGTGGACAAGGACTGATCAGATCAATGTAATCGCACAGCGACTGCAGTACCCCGCGGCGGAGGGGTAGAAAAGATTAGCAGATTGCCCTTTTTCCGGTGCAATTAGAATTGAGACCAGGATCCCATAGATCTGCGTCAACTGTACAAAAGGAAGATGCTCCTTAAATAAAAGGAAATCCGACAGTGTCACCTTCAGAGGCGATGTTGAAGGATTGCTTTTTGTCGCTGCGGGGAAATTTTTCTGCTGCGGGACGTCAATCTTATATAACAGTTGGTGCCTGAGGCATCTTCGTATGCAGTACGTACAACCCTCCTCAGGGAGAAGCTGCAGATTAAATTGGATACGTGTAGAAATAAATAGATAAAATGCATGAGGTTTATTTTTTGGCCTGTCACCGATTCAAAATTAGTATAGCCAAGAAAATTACCAAGTCTTGCACAATATAAAATGCATGTTAGACAGCACTGACCAGAGCAAACTAAGAGTCTAAGCCAACCCAATCTCTCGATAATTATTATATTTTGTTTATCCACACAGAACGTTATTCCGACACATGTAAGATGCTTTGTCGGTTCACGAGTGTGTAGCTTTTTTTATCCCCACAGCCATTCCATGGGCACCATGTTTCATTGTCTGTCAATATAAAACCAGATTATGATGAGGGAAAAAAAATGACTGACAAAATAGCTCGTCATACTCTCCTTTTATTTAAGTTGTTTTTTATTTCTATCCTTTTCTTTTGTAGATACAACTACATGTTGTATTCGCGTCACATACGCGGATACTACAGAGTATATACATTTTGATATTAAATCATCAGAAAGTATAATTCTGTGGAACCTATACAATAGAGAATAATTGACCTCTGATGTGACCGTTATTGTGCCACGGTCAAATGCAGGAGCTGCGACTCCCCTTCATCTAGATAGGCTGTAAAAGAAGTCGACACCGTGCTCGAGTTCCCATTCCAGACATCAGAGAACTCCCAGCTCTTGCCTGCGATGCCCAGATCCGCCAGCGACACGGTCACATTCTGGACGCCAGTCAACGACGTCCCAAACCCGCCGTGCCCCTGATCCGGTCCGTAGTTGACGACGAGGACATACGCTTCGTTGTTGTCGGACGGTCCGGCGATCCACGCTTGCAGCTGTTGCGGGACGTTATCGCCCGTGCCCGGGTTGCGCGGTTGCATCGGATACTGCGCAAAGAAATCGGCAGCCTGGATGGACTCATTGCTCGTCAGCAGCTTCGTGCCCAGATCGTCGAGCTGGTTCAAATCCGAGCCTATGATCAGATTCGCTGCCGCCCCGAGCCAGTGGTTCATGATGGTGATGCGTTGCGCGTCGCTGACCCCCGTCAGGTTCGCTGCATTGCCCACAAAGAGATTGTCCATGTCCGGGTACAGCGTGATGGGCACGTTGCGCTGCTTCTGCAACAGGATATACTGGCGGTAATTCTCGATCGCCCGCTGCACGACCTGCCATGCGACGAACGTGTTGTATCCATAATTGTCGATGTCCTGGTCCGTTCGGATCGAATCCGCCAGACTGCTCCAGACCGGCAGGTAGGTTTCATTGCGGCACAGTTTCCACGACAGATCCAGTCGGATCTGGCGCCCCGAATTGGCGATTGCCTTGTGGTACGCCTCCACTGCGGCGCTGTTGTTGCAGACGAGATTCGCGCCGTTTTGCGGACTGCCTGGCGTGACAAAGTCCAGCTTGATCATGTCCACGCCCCAGGAGGCCCACAGGTTGATAAGTGAATCGTGCCATTGCTGCACGCCGTCCTTGGAGAAGTCCCAGTCGCAGTACGACAGTTCATCGTTGTTGCCATTGAGGACGTCCCCGATGCGAATGTTGGTCCCTTCGATCGTCTTATTTGCCGCAACGCAGGGCACGCCCGGGATCACATACACACCCAGCTTGAGGCCTTGTCCGTGCAGGTAATCTGCCAGCTCGGGGAGGTCGAACAAGGTGCTGTTGTAGAGGATTCGCCCGTATTCGTCGACTTCGCTGCTCGTGGACCAACCGGCGTCCAGGCTGCAGAGATCGTAGCCTGCTGCCTTGAAATCCGAGCGAGCCAGCACTGAGCATTGCTGTTTCACGGCTGTCTGGTTGAATACCGTCCAGCCGGGAATCGTGCTCGGATTCTCAAGCGCCTGAATTCCCCAGGAATTCCATCCTCGCGCAGACGAAGTAAACCCGTTGGCTGTGCGGGCGGTTCGCAATACCTGCAGGGGGCCTGCACCAGACTGGGGCTGGGGATAGCAACCATTGAGGACGGTGTCGTCGCGGTTCTGGACGCAGAAACCGGGCCCAGTGGTGCCAATGCTGCCGTTTGGAGAGTAGCAGCCCGGTTCAGCGGCCATCCAGTACCACTGGCTGTCGTCGTACCACGTCCCTGTCGTGAAGCCATCGAGCAGGCAGAAGTCAAGGATGTCCTGGTAGGCAATCAGGTAGTCGTTGTTCTTCCCCTGGTTGGATTGCTGCTGCATGAACAGATTGCCTGCGGCGTCTTGACAGTTGACCAGGCTGGCATTAGCGCCGAATTGCGCGACGCAATCCTGAGCAGCCTGGTAGCACTCTTCGGTGAAGTTCACCGAGCCTGGCGTGTACGTTGATCCGCCACATTGCCACTGGGCGTAAGCCCCGGGCTGGATGGTGGTCAGAAGCAGGGAGACCAGGACTGCGGCGGAGATCATTGTGAACCGAATTCTTGCCTGACTTTTTGCCTGACTGTTATAAGCGTCGATCACCGAGTCAGAACGAGGCTTTCCAACACCTATTTATCTCCTAGCATAGACCCCTTAGGGGTTGTGCCTGGCCTGTGGGGTAATTGCATTGCGGTGAGATTTCCGGTGTGACGACTGCTGACTCGAAGTGATTATTTTCGTCAGAGCCATGCCCAGAGGAGCTATTGCTGACAGTATTATTATTGCACTTGTATGTATTCGGCCTCATCATTGGCAGCGTCAAAGGTCCACAGGCACGTGTGTTCAGGGGGCAGTTATTTTCCCGGAAGAAATAATCCAGACGAAAGCCCGTTTGACGTAAGCTTGTCTGTTGCTAGACGGCTTTTCATTAGCCCGAATGGCGATGCTAATTCGAACTGGAAGGTGGATATGACAGCTCCCCGCCTTGTTGATTGCAAGTGCCGGACTAAACAGTGCTTTTTGCGGGGTCCGGGGAGAATTCTGCTTTGGGTTCGGCACAAATCTCGGCGGACAGGACAGATGTCAGATGCTTATGCCACATGTGCCTGGTCTAAAATATAGTCCATGCTGTCGTTTATGTGCGTACATCGGAGTAACCCCGGTCTGTGCGTCAGCTGGCATGACATGGCTGAGAAGCAGAATGACACTCCCGTTTTCTACCAAACTGTTATGGTGGACCGAATTCGGGGAGGAAAGAAAGAACAGAACACCTTTTCCTAGATTAGGGTTGTTGTTGTTAGTCTGATCTGTCAGCCGCGGGCCGACTGCAGACTCATCAACCTGTAGATATATATATATATTGCCATTCTTGTATAAGGAAGCTTAGTAAGATTTTAATTCTAACGTAATCCACCACCGAGCTGCGCGGACCACCGAGCTGCGCGGCCACCACCTCGGCCACCCCCTATCATCGGATTTATCGCGATTTACCAACGCACCGCGTCATGGCTGATATATCAAAAGAAGGGCGTATGCAATTAGCACTTGAAGCCTATAAGAAAGGTCTTTTTCCATCAAAAACTGCAGCTGCCAAAGCTTTTGACGTGCCTCCAAGGACCTTTATGACACGGTTAATGGGACTACTGCTCGCAAAGATTCAACTGCAAATTGTCGCAAATTGACAGATACTGAAGAATCTACACTTTCAGCATGGATTCTTGATATGGACCGACGTGGTTTACCTCCACGAATATCAACAGTACGCTATCTAGCGCAATTGTTGCTTTCTGCGCGGTTATCTTCACCTCAAGAAGCTTCTATTGGGGAGAACTGGGTAAACCGGTTTATCAAGCGCCATAAAGAACTTTGCTCTAAATACAGCCGAAAGTACGATTATCAGCGAGCTAAATGCGAAGATCCAGAGCTTATTAAGGGCTGGTTTACACGGTTTCATGATGCTATTCAGAAGTATGGGATCCTTGAGCAAGATATCTATAATATGGATGAGACTGGCTTTCAAATGGGTGTGATATCAACTGCCAAAGTTGTCTGCGGTTCAGAGACAAGAGAAAGTCATGCAAAGACTATACAACCTGGAAACCGCGAATGGGTTACTGCAATTGTAGCAGTGAATGCACTGGATGGGCCTTGCCTCACAGATTATTCTTGCTGCAAAGAACATCATCCAATG